ATAACAGATACAAAAGAAATCACAGATATAAAAATGATTCACAGGTGGAAAGGGTGGCAAAAGTTGCACCAGGAATTTATTGATGGTGAAGAATGAGGGAGAAGTCTGGGGTCAGCCGACACCCAGGTTTCTAAACAATAGTGTTAAGGAGGGGAGGTTTGATTTCCCAAGATAAAAAATACAGTTGGGATGGGACCACTGAGTGTGGGAATTGAGTGTCTCTGTGTTCGAAGTGTTGAGTTTGAAGAATGATAGTCTAGAGATCATCCAAGGAGAGATCTCTAGCAAAGAGATTACCATACAAAAGATAAATTGTCTGAATAGAAAACAACACTCCCTTAAGTTGATCAATGCAATCATGGTTTTTTAGAATGTATAGATGAATCTCACAGAACCCAATAGTGGGAAGCAGAGTTGGGCTTCTCGCTTGCTGGAAAACTGTCGTGTAGCTACTTTCCATCTTTTACTGAGGCAATATGATGTTCTACTTGATGCCTGCTTCATTTTTCTCTTTGCTTTTCTGCTAGGCTTAGCTACTACTTTGCTAGAACATGGATTCTGTGAACTTAGAGTTGCCATGATGCTGACCATGACTCAAGTGCCTGTGACTTTGTAGCTTTTTATTAGTTTTTATTTCAAAGTCTCTGTGTCTCCATTCCAAGTTTCAAGGATACAGGATCTAATTGGGTTAGGTGACCATCTGTGAACAAAGCATGGGCAGGCATGGGTTTTAGAATGGAATGTGAGGAAGGTGGAAATGGTTGGCAGAGAAAACAACTGGCACCTGGAGCATGATAAAAAATAGCACTTAGTATATAATCTGGGCTGGATAGAAAAATCTAAGTAGTTAAAATTAAGCGAGTAGATGAAATTATGCATAAAGAGTGTATACCCTGAGGAAAGATCAGAACTTTGGGAATAGAGTATTTAAGAAGTGACAAGAGAAAAGTGAGTCAGTGAAAGTGACTGAGAAGCAATGGAAAGAGAGATAAGGAGAAAATATCACAAAAACAAAGGAGGGAGGAGTCAACAGTGTCAAGTGCTACTGAGATTGGGGAGATTGCAAACTGGAATATGATAGGGAAAGTAGTGAGGAAGTGTTAAGAGGTGGAGACAGACACTAGATTGCAGTGGGCTGACATTATAATAGAATGTCAAATGAGGGGTAAGGAAATAGACACAACTTCTTTTTAAGCATGACTTTGAAGGGAAGGGGACAAATAAACTAAAAATGGATGAGGGAACATACTGATGAGACAGACACTCTGGGGTAAGGTGATCTTGAATATGCTGACTAAGACAGATAATAGTAGATGAAGTCAAATTCTGGAAGAGGCTGATGGAATGGACCAGAGCTCCAGAGAATGGTACAATTTGAGAGGGAGAAGTTGCATATAGGATGTACCCAGTAAGTATTTTTGAATGAATAAATGAATAAGCTGTTACAGTTTGCTGAGCTTGTTTTCATTTCTCTTTGAGTCTTAAAGTCAAGGGATTTGGGTCTTGAGCATGCTAAGGCAGTACTGGGTGTGTCAACTTGAACATGGTGTAGGATAAACACATGGGGAAACCATTTTGTTCTTCTTCAGGATCCTCCTAATGATAACTCTCATTGTTCTCACTTCCTCGAGAAGACAGAATTTGAGATGGAAGGAGAGGTGAAGGCAGGGGAACGTAGCTGTGAATAAAAAACTTTGGATTAGGTGCCAGAAAACCTTAGATTCTAACCACTTTTTGAAATTTATTGGCCTCACAGCCTTCGACAACTTGTGTACCAAATTCTTCATTTGTAAAAGGCATGTGATATTTCCTTCGCTATTTTACAGACTGTGTTAGATTCCTTTCATATATTATTGCAAATACTGTCAAGCACAGTACAGTTGTGAATTTCCATTAATATATACTCCAGACAGTCTAAGAATATGGACTGCTTCTGGGGTATGCCCTGGGGGGTTGTCTCATCTTGTCTCACTGTATACACATGGATAGTGTGTCCCTGGAGCACTGTTTGCTAGCTTCTTTCTTGGCTACTACACCATGTCGGAAGCTTAGCCTGATAGTGCAGAACATTCCTATCAGCATATAAAGTGCCTGGAGGAACAAGCACATAAAAATCACAAATTCATTACTTTCTTGAGACTAGAACATAAGAATCTCAATAGCCTTATGAATTGCCTCCAGAAATTAGGCAAAAATTAATTCTGCTTTAAAAATTTGCATCCACATTTAGAAATACTATTTCCTTCTCTCTGAATTATTTGCATCTCCATTGCTTCAAATCAAAAGACCTACACAAGCATTTATCTTTATGGAGTCCCCCAGCTTCCTTACAGAAATAAATAAACACTAAAGACTTTAAGGTAGATTTATCATATTTTAGCCCAGATCTGGATTCTAATTAGGCAAGGTAACTTATATTATGCAGTCTGTGATTATTTGTAGACTCAGGTTAGGTAGAAATAATCGTATTCTCATGGCTGGCAAAATGGATATAGATTAAACTAGTAATACCTGGCATCTACTGCTCACTGACACTGCAAAGTTAATGAAATAGGGCTTATCAATCAATTTGTGCTCTTCATCTTCAACTAAAAGCAGTTGTTATGCCAAGTTGGACCAGGCATGGGTGAAGGACTCAGTACATACACTCATTTCCTTGTCAATTGTGTATCTGAAATCAACTTTCTGGGTTATTTGCTCTGTTCATTCTCTAGGGGTTTCACTTCCAAAGAATGATTTCATTGATCTTAAATTTAAGAGATAGTATTGTCACCAGAGATTTTAGTTCTTCATTTGGCTCTTATTTCCACAAGTCTTCTCTTCTATGATCTATTAGCTGTCATTTAGAATGAACAAAAAGGGACTATTTTTAATAAAATAAACCATTTTGGCCATGATTAATGAGATCTATATATAGTAGTCCTAAGGGACATAAGAGGCACAAGATTGATAAAGGTTTTAATACAAAGGAAAGCACAGAAAATTTACCTGAGGATTGAGTTGGCCCTAATTCACTGGAGGTATGTAACAGTAATGAGGCACTAACTTGTTTCTGTTGAAGTCCAACAGCAAGGTGAGAATTCTCTTAGTTCAAAGAGGATATCTGCAACACTTTGGAAACAACCTGCAACTCTTAATTTACTCTGCAAAGGATAAAGATTTGGTCTCCTAAAATGAAACACTTACAAATTATGGCTCATGGAGTCTACCACCAAAATTGTTACGTTCAGAAAACTGAAAAACAATTATTTCTCATATCATCAATTGAAGGCTTAGAAAATATGTTTTGTTCTTTTCTCTGATAGCTAATTACCACATATGTGAGGCAGACTAAATCTGCAGTTTTTTTGTTTTAGACAAAGTAAAATTCCAGATGGAACTAGGAGGGCCTCTGTTTTGATGGTGTAGCATTTGTTGACATTCTAAAAGCACAAACACACTTGAGGAACTAGCTGTTATTAGGACAAAGATTTGGGATCAACATTGCTGGGCACAAAATAAGAACAATGGATATATTAAAGGGTGATTGCTAGAAGTTATACTGTCATGTGTAAAAATATAGAGCATATACAGAGACTACACACTGAAGACAAACTATTAATACTCCATTGTTCTAGATATAAATAATGAGGATCTCTGAGAACAGGTTCATCTGTATTGACCTTAATGTCCCCTTACAGTGCTTTGGATGTAGCAGTGCAAACAACAGATGCCCAAAACAGATTTTAAAAATTCAATAACGTATATTTGCCATGCTATAATTTACTCTTCTGTGACTGGCACAAAATATAAAGGCACATATTTATTGTGCATGAATTTTTTCTTCTTTGAGATTTTACTGGGTCTGCAGGAATGTTAGAGGCAGTGGGGAAACCTTAGGGAATGCTGGCCTCCAAAAGGCTTGCTAAGTGTAATGCACAGAAAACTTCACTAAGTGGGAGAACACATGAGTTTCAGAGTTGATCTAAAAGTAGCTGATGCTTGAGCTATGGACAGCAGCCTAGCTTTTGATGTTTCCTCTTTTGCAAAAACAAAACAAAGGAAGAAGGAAAGAGGAAGGAAGGAAGGAAGGAGGGAGGAGGGAAGGCGGGAGGGAGGAAAGGAAGGAAGAAGTAATTTGGAATTATTAATATGAGTAACAAGTACTATTTTGGTCTTTTATTGAATTCTGTAGGTAACATTTGCAAATAAAACACTTTAAATCCAATGAAAAATTAAAAAATGGATCAATTGAAAATACCACAAAATCGAAACTCATAGATATTTACTGAAATTACTTAATAAAAGGCTAAAAATTATTATAAGAACATCAGAGAACATGGATAAGAACTTATTTTAACTTTACATTATTATGTGATAAATTAACAATGTCAAAACAAAATGAATTTATAAAAATATAAAATGTGTGCTCAATTTTACATTGTAGTCAGAGTTCCATTATTTGTTATTAAGAATAACTATTCATCCCATACAAAATACTTGCTTGACTTATCTATTTGATGAGGAGAACTAAATATAAGGTTATGATATCATAAGCACATTTCATTTAAATATTCACAGTAACATTACATTGCTAGTCAGCAAAAGTACAGAATGTTTCACAGACTTTGTGTGACTTACAAGGGAAAGCAGTAACAGTGTTTAGCTAGCTGTTATTCGTGAAAGAATAAAAATGTAGTATTTGTCATGGGTTAGCACATGAATGTTCTTCATATTTAAACTGAGCAGTCATCAAATTTTAATTTTATCTGGGACAACCCCTAAGTGCATTTTTAAATATGTGGAAAATCTGACAAATACTTTAACTGTGTCTGAATGTTAATACTGCTATCCTTGATGACCTATTCTTTTTTACAGGAAATAATACATTTTCTTAAAATAAGGACTTTTTATCCACACTGCCCCTTTCCTGTCCTCCCTCAATCACAGCATATGTGTAATAAAAAACAAAAGAGGCTGAAAGATGATTCTATCGTGGGTTTAGTGTTTTTTCCTCTCTCTCTGAATCACACTGTCACAACTTATTGGGTTGCTTCTTTCAACTATTCAGAAATCAATCAATCATTATGATGCATTTCTCAACAAAGGAAATTAGAAAGAGCAGCGAAGATTGTTTTTCAGTTTAGCTTTTTGGCGTCAAATGAATTTGGTGTTGTAGGTCAGGGTTGTGGACTTAACAGGTTTGAAGTGGAAAAGGTGTAGCTATCACCCGACGGAAGGACTAAGCATCTAAAAAGGTCTGACAATGGCAGCAACAACATCTTTTCACTAAAACCTGAAATTCTGCAATGCGTCTTTTAAAACTGAATTTTAGTCAAAATTTTAAATATAATGGCAGTGATAGAATAAAGATCACATGACAGAGGGTGAATAGTGTAAAGAAATGAGATTTGGAGTCACTTATTGGCCAAATGATCTTGGAAAAGTCATTTGACCTTTCCAAATTGGTGGATCAATCTCTAAATTTTGGGTGGTGTTAGTACTTCTTGTGGATGCTGTAGGGTGTGTGTGGAATATATGAATGATGTTTGCAAAGTATGATATATGTCAATAAACAAATTTTGGACAAACTTGAGATGGTATATCTGGTATTTTGATGTCTGTGTAGTTACTATCTATTTAATATTTCAAAAACAGATTCTTATAACACTTAGTATATTACATAGAAATACTACATACACTGTTTGCTTTCCCTTGTGTGTATATATATACATATAAATACATGTGGGAGCTTTTAAACATAAATGATACCATTTTATGGAGTAGTTGAAAAATGGTCTATACAGTGCCCTTAAAATTGGAAAAAAAAGATATTCTTATTTGGTTTATAGGCATACAATTTTATGGCATTTGAGAAAAACATTTGGACAATTTAAAGTAAACTAAATACTTAACCTTCCCCACCCCCAAACCCAGCCTTAAGAGATCACATCATAGAGACAATTTACCAGAAGAGATACTACTATGGTTTGTTTGGTCTGATAAAGTGATTGTAAGATACAGTATTATTACAATATGCTAGAATCACCACTTAGCAAATTTCATAAACTTTACAAAAAGGACGAAATCACTTCTCACAAAGATCACTAACACTATTACATGAGAGACTCAATCACATCTACGTAAACCTAAAAATTCAGATTCATAAAACCAAATGATTAGATTAATGTTTTTTAATTAATTGCTCCACTAGTCAAAATATACATTTTTATTATGACAGAGGCCTTTAAAAATTGCCCCCTTTTCTGAATGAAAGGAATATAATACCAAATCTCTGGATGAATAATTTCAGTATGACAAAATATTTCTGTATAATTAAAATGGACTGCTGTCATTTTAATAATTTTTCTAGTGCCCAAATTCTAACATTCTTTTAACCTAATCTCTACCATAAAACCAGTATAGTCACCTGTTCTCTTTGTTGTGCAAAAACTGTAACCTTTTATTTCTCAACTTCCCACTAATGCCAAACAAAAGTGTTTGGGCTATCCCTGAATTTTATTTCTCACTCCTGAGCAAAATTAATTACAATATGGCTCTACCTGGCCTCCTTTGTATTAAAAAATTCATAAAATTTTATGAGTATTAGTTTACTAGTCATTGCTTCTGGCTCTAAAAGGGGATTAAACTTTTAAATGTGACAAAAATGTACTTTACAATCAGCTACTGTTCATTGGTAAGCAAAATATACTTGATTCTGCTTTACTGAGAGTTCATGAAACCACAATTTAAAGAGAAGAATAACTTGAACAAACATTTTGTGTAAACAATGAATTCAGCATTCAAAGATGAAATGATAAATCATAACAGTTAAGCCACAATCAGAATGAAAATAAGATTTGACATTTTTATGTTTTGCTAAGGCCAATTAGTAATAGTAGAAATATGAACGTTTCAGTTTTTAATCTAGTCAATCCCTTCAGTAGAAATATGTGACATGTTAGTGACTGGGGCGGGGGACAACTGGCACAGATATGCATATATTATGAAAATTTGAAAATGCTATAGAATTTTTGAAAATGAAAAGAAACTGATTACTAAATTAAAAATTTCTACTTTACAGATAATGAAACTGAGGCTCTGAGAAGTTAAAGGGACTTTCCTGGGGGACATGAGGGTTACTGGCAGAGCCAGAACTACAGTACAGACAGACACCTGCTTAAGCTCTCTGTGTAAAAAGAATCAAGAGATCATATGGCAAACACTCATATTGCTTAACCTTTTCCCATCTTCCACTATCTCAGGCTTATAATGTTGAGTGTGCAATAAAATTCTGGAATTTCATAGGTCATTTGCTAACCACATTAATACCTAACTAAATTTAACAAATATTCTCCCTTTCTTTCTAGTGATTCCATTAATCTGTTTTCCTTCTGCAGTGATTTTTCTATTTTTTTCATGATCCCATTGTAGATAAGGGAAAATTCTTAGAGGAGAAAGAATTATTTTTCCTCTTCTCACAACCAATTTGAAGAATGATAAATTTATGATACTTTCAAGGCTTAAATCTTATTTCAATTTATTCTTCTCTTCAGAAAAGGATCAGAAAATCTGAGTGGGTATATATCCTTCAAAGTATTTTTCAGGAAATGTATATAACAGGTTTGGGACCTGAAGGGGCTTTGGTGATTATTCAACTCAGCATACCCATTTTGCAATTGAAAAAACTGGAGCCTAACTATAGTAACTGACTTATCTAGGGTCCCACAGGTAGGAAGTAGGTAAGAATTATAGGTAATATTCTAGGTGAATATTATGCTCATTATCCATTCTGTGAACGTATTTGGTTACTCACCTGATGCAATTTTGTGATTTCCTTCTCAGAGTCCAGGTCCTATATTTATTGAAATTGTATCCTGTAGTAATAGGGCAGATATGATACTAAATATACTATAATGACTAAAATGGTATTCTTGGTGCTTTATGAGGGTAGTTTTTATGCCTCTTTGTGTAATACCTATTGATCCCTACTAAGACATCTGCATGCCTAAGAACTCCTGTAGCACAGTTGAACGGTTTGTTTCAATCATTCCAGGCTATCATCACCCGTTATAAGGATTAAATTGGCTGCAATGAACTGACTGTTCCCTGGCCAGTGTCTCTACTACATGGGCTAACACAGAATAGAAACAAAGTGGTGGCTATATTTTCACTTTAATCATAAATCACCTCCACTGGAGATTCAAATAGCTCAAATATGAGACAGTTCTCATTCCTTTATTTCACTTTTTCCTAGAGTGATCTGGTCTGCAAGTTTTGACCACAAGAAATTACCAGAAGATTATGAAACATTTATTGTAGACATTGCCTCAAAGAAAGTTACCTGGTTTGTATCTCCTATTCACATGTTTTGCTGCCATTAGGTGAATACTTGTTTAGTTAATGATTTCTATACATTAATGAAATTCATCACCTGTATTTCTGTCTAAAGGCATTGAAAAGTTTATAATCTTGGCTTCGCACCTGATATATTTTATAGTAATTAAAATTACATAAGCACTCTAATTATAATTTAGCATTGTTGTTCATTTAAGCAATACGACAATATATTTCTTCAGGTATATTTTGAAAATGAAATACAGAAATGAAAAAGATCTTCTATATACTCTATGTTCACAGTTTGACTTTCCATAAGGCTTATGAAATAATATACAAATAGCTACCATTCTGCTGAAATGTCACAGTAAATACATTAATAATGGCACAGAAGTGAAATGTCCCCAAATGGGAAATCATCTTCATGACGCCCTAAATATCTTTTCCAATTAACATTTTGCTTTTCTTAATTGAAAAAGAGTTCCATTTCTAAAAGAATATAAAAATAGAAAATGAGTCAAGGAATTTTTTTACATATAGAATCTTGAAGAAAAAGCTAAACCATTAGCTGAAATATTTTATATATCTTTAAGAATGTGCTTTGTCTCACCATATCAAATATCTCATGAAAATAAAAGTGAACTATTATACATGAACTGTTTAAAAGTATAACTAAATGTTAAAATTTTAGTTAACATAGACACTTCAAACATAATAAGTACTAATATATTTTTGTAAAGTTAAGGTAAGCTAAAACCTAACTATAAGACTAATTTGTAAATATTACTTTAAATTAAAAAATAAAAGAATGTTTAATAAAGCAAGGCACATTTCTTTTAGGCAAGTCTGTCTTTAATACCATTATTCTGGGCACAGTGTCGACTTTACTTATTTATGTGTAAGTGGCTAAGCTATATATGGGGACCTTTGGTACAGAACATACCTTCAAAAGTAAAGTTTCACATAACCAGAACACATAGTATGACATGAATATACCTCACCATTAAATACAGTCCAGTAATTAAAAAATAAGATAGCAATAGTTGGTTTATTAGAAACAAACATGTAAGCTTCCTTTATCTGCAACACTGAATATAATTTTTGCATGATTAGATTTTATCAAAATGTCAACAGATTCAAATACCTTAATATTTTTAATATTCTTTGTCTCTTGATCAGTATCTTTTATCCTGCACACAGGATGAAGAGAATCCTTCAGCTGCAAGCTGTTTTCTTTACATAAATCATTATTTAATGTAAACTGAAATAAAAATATGCGCTGGTGGACAGATCCCTGCCCATCAGTGATGTAAAAACTGCTACTGCATTCTTGGTCCAGGCAAATGAAAACTTAGCATCTTTCTGGTTAGGGCTGCTCTATTGCTCATGTAGGGCTCTTCAAGGATCTGCTGGACAGAGGAAATAACAATCATTAATTGTATGTTTACCTTTAAAAAACCTATAGACTTTATGACAGTAAAAAAGTTCCATTTATATATTTTTTAAAAACTGATTTTTTAACTGTTACCCTGGAAAGTTCAAGCAATTTAGTTTTCTAAATGCATTAGTTACATATTGAATGCTTTTTAGAAAAAGTTTCAGATTATATTGAAATTACGAACTTTTTTCCATTAATTAAGACTCTCAAGTTTTGTCCAAACCAATGTGATAGTCTGCTTTTTGAATAGGAAAATCTATGTTCATCCTTAGAAGCATCTGAAAAGTTCTCAGTATCACTGATTTTTAGAAAAATGTATATGGATTTCCAAGGGCTTGCTTCTTTCTGACTATACATTGTACTAAGGTTATCTGAGAATTCTTCTGAATGCATTAGAAACTCCATCCTCAGATAAGCATCATGAGCAGGGAAAAAAGAGAAGGAAAGGAAAGAGAGAGAAAGTGACAGAGTGTTTGCACACAGGATGAGAACGAGACAGAGATGGGGGGAGGGAGGAGGGGGAGGGAGGAAAAAGAGAAGAGAGATTTATAAAGGAATAGTTTCTTTTGAAATGAGTACTGTGAAAATCATGTTCTAGTGCCATAGGATGTCATGCTTATAGTTTATATTTTTATTACAAATCCTTTAAAATATGAACTCTGCACAGTTATGTACACTTTAAAGCATCATGAATTAAAACAACAAAACCACTTGACCAGGGCTGTGGAGAATCAAGAAATAAAGGTTATAGATTTAATGGTTCTCTCCCCCAACTACAAAAAATGATTTAGAAATGCCAACAGAACATGACAGTGTTTTTCACTGTTATATTCAAAATTCAGAATGGTATCTGGCACATAGTAGACACTTTATATGTTAAAAGGATGAATACATTTTTACTATTTTGCATAATGGGTAACATCTAGGAGGTATTCAGTAAATATATATTCAAAGAATAAAATGATATATTAAAATTAGATTCTTGTGCTCTATAAATCTACTTCCTGTAAAATATAAAGGACACTAAAGTAGACAAAAACAGAGAATACTAAATTCAGACTTCTTTATTGTAATTCATAGAGAAGACTTTCCCATACATATTCCTGGTTTTAGCAAATATCTCTGTATAAGAGGTAAATACCCAAAGACAACAGTCTATAGGAGTGATGGTGAACCTTTTAGAGCTCTCAATGATACAAACAGCACACTGTGGCACAGGTGCCAATGTTTTGCCACCACTGGTCTATAATTTGTGCTTTTGAGGGAAAAATCTTTCACTCACTAAAGTAAATACTGTATGCCTAATGTATGCTGTACAACCGTCTAGTGAAAAATTTTCCTTACTGACCTGGACTATATTTGGTCATACTGATCAAACTCATAGCTTCTTAAGATAGATTTTTAGTCAAAAAGCAAGAGTACAGTATATCCACCATATGCTTATTTTTCATTATGGAGATTATGAAAATTGCAGTGGTCTAATAGTTATTAATGGGTACAAACAAGAAAATGTAGTGACAGTAATCATCTTGTAGTAACAGTAATCATCTGGCATCCATTTTATTTCCTAAGTGCTTGGTTTTTGTTTAGTATTACTGCTGGTTTGTTATCTTGAAATGGCTTGGTTACGCTACACTTGTCTTGCTACTGTTCCATCCTTTTCATATGAGAGTTGGACCTTTTTTAAAAACCTCATGTATTAAGACCTGCCTCTCAAGGTTCTCACAATTAAATTAGTATAGAAAGGCATCCTCCTAGATTACAGGTGTGGAGGGAATCGAAATTCAACAGAAACAACAAAGTGATTGATGTATATGCTAGTGGTTAAGAAGTGAGCTGAAAGGAAAAGAACAAAGATTAAGTATCAAAATCAACTCTATTGTAAATAGATAATGTGGAATAGGAAGAAAAGGTCCCAAGGGGAAGGGGAAGTAAGGGGGGGTAGGGGAAAAGAAAGAAGGAAAAGAAAAAAATATGAGAAAAGAAGGAAAAAATGGAAACAAAGTTTTTTTGTTATTAGGGAGGGGCGGAGGAGTGGAAGGTAGGGAGGGGAAGAAGGGAAAAAAGAAGAATCAAGATATACCATGTATAGGCATGAATTCCCAATGATGAATATATCATAATGTACACCTAAAATGTACCAACAAACGTAATGAAAATAAGTATAGTTGGAAATGGTGACCTACAATTGAATTGATCAAATAAATGTTACACCATATAAAACAAGAAAAGAAGACAAGAACAGTCAAATTTCAATAATTATCAGTTTGTGAAGAACTCATTCATGCATCTACCAAGGCCTAAGTGAAAACATATAGACTCAGATCCTTAATTGATTGTTGGCCTCACTAAATTTACTTGATGAGGAAAGGACTGAAGTAAAACATACAGATGTATGGGAATTTTGTTTTCACATGTCTATACTTTGACATCTGTTAACTTAGAATTGGCTGCACACTAGTAAGTTCTACAAATCGTACCAACTAAATAGTAGTGAATAAGCCCAAAGGCTAGGAAGATTTCCTGCCCAATTATGTACAATACTCTGATTGGGGTTTTGGAAATTACATACTCTTGGCAAATAAAAGAGGTTTAAACTCACTCAGTAATTAATGTTAGTAATATGCTAAGATGTGAACTCTGTCAAAAATCTGAGAAGTCATGGGAAAATGAGCTGCAAAGTATAATCAATACTACTTCAAGCAATAGTCAGGTCTATTAATAATATCTTCAATTCACATAGTTACACAATAAAATAAACTACACTTTTCAAATCAGTTAAAATATTTGCAGGTAAAAGGTCTATAAAATCTAGGTATAAAACAATTAAAACAGTTCTTATTTGGAGGAATTATTTCTGTCTGCGGTTTTGCATTCACAGTCAATTTTGCCCTTTAGAAATCTGATATACAAGGTCTTGTTTAATATGCTTTTCATCACAATTTCTTCTAGATATTATGTACCAGCGAATATCCGCTATTTTATTGTTCTGTAGTCATACATAAGGCAAATACAAAATGTAACGGCATGTGAGGCTGTCTTAAGTGTCTAATTTGATTATATCAAGTTATGAAGGAAAATCTAGTAAAGCTGATACTGAATTAAACAATTAAAATAAACAATGCTACAATACTTCATCCCAAACCAGGGGGAAAAACATGAAAATAATCAAAGAATTTTAATTCTTTGTTTTGTATCATCTCTTTAAACCCTTACAATTATCCTCAGAAGAGACAAATATTTTGTCTGTGTGCTTAATTGATAAGCTGATAAAAGGAGAAGAGTTTCTAATGTTTGCTGATCTACATCTATAAATTAAGTACATAGGTTTATTTTATTTTATTTTGGTACCGGGGATCGAACTTGGGTCCTTGCGCTTGTGCAGCAGGTGGCAAAACCACTGAGCTAAATCCCTGGCTCCTGAAGTTAATTTTTAATTTGTGGACATATTTGGTAAAGAAATTGTGTCACTTGGATGCGAAGAGGAAATAGCCATGTCATTCTTTGGTTGGGGTCTGCCTGGGAAAGGAGAAAATTCAGAAGGGGTTCGAATAAAGTTCCTTTCTATTCCCATCAGCATCATTTTCTACTGCAGAGGAAAGCCCATCTGTCACAATATTATCTAAAATCTTGGCAATATCTGCACTACTCATATTAATGCTTCAACTACCTACTTACTGAGAACCAAATGTATTCTATGTACTATTTGGGGGGACACAGCACAGTGAACAGACAAAAAATTGTGTCTCCATGGAAGGAAAGGAACAACAGGCAATAAATCAAATAAATAAAAATATCTAGTATGTTAGAGGAAAAATTAGGCAGAGAAAGAACACAGGGAGTGTCGCAGGACTGCAATTTTAAGTACAGAGGCCATGAAGTCTGCAGTGAGAAGGCAACATCCTGGAGGTGAGAGTAAGCCACACAGTTGGCAGAGGAAGAGCAAGTACAGACTCCAGGGTGGAGCAAGATGCCACATCTGATCAAGAACAAGGAGGTCTGTGTGGCTACAGCATGGGATCAAGGTGGAGAGTGGCAAACAAGACCAAAGGATAGGGAAGGCTGAGCTAGGTGGGGCCTTCAGGACACTATAAGGCCATTAGTTTGTACTATGTGAAATGAGCCAGATGGGGGGTTGATACAAAGAAGAACATGACCTAATAAGTGTTCTGAGAAGATCACTCAGCATGCCATGTTGAGGACAGAGTCAAGTCAGGGGAAGGATGGAAGCTAGGGGATCAATCAAGACAGTTCTATACAAATACAAGCGAGAGTAATGACAGGGGCAACGCTAACTTTCATACTAAAAAGATGGTGGTGATCTTAACAAAAATTCCCAAAACTTTTTGTGCTGTGACAGTAGAGCTGTGTGTGAGCTTAGAAGATTTATTCATACCATTCTTAAAATCTGAGGAAACACCATTTTTTGTTCATTTAATTGGTATATTACTAACAACCAGAACACTAGTCTCTCTTTTTCAGGGCAGAGTTACTATTCTGCACTATTTAGTTTACAACAGCAATAACACGGCTTTCAAGAAAATGACAGAGCCTCTTTTTCAGATCTCTTCTTTAATGCACTGGATGGTTGATGGCGTAAATCTTGAAATGTAAGGAAAAACACATCTGGTACAAAAAGAAGAAAAAGAAAAAGTTTGGGCTCTATTTGAATTCCCCATTCTTCTTCCTGCATCCTATGATTTATGTTCTTGTAAAGACTGTCAACCATTCCCCTTGAGGTGTATAAAAAAATAAAATGATTTCATTAGTATATATAAAATTGCCACCACAAAATACAAGAAATTAATAGTATAAAACTGACAGGTTTATCTTCCTTAGTTTTAAAAAAGCCAAAAACAAAACAGAAAGAAAAAAATTTCACCTTAACATGCAATCCCTAAATATTCCGTTCCCCATTCTTATGCTCCTCACCTCTATCTCACAGTGTTTCCATATGTCTTCACTTTGGGGGACACATGTGCTTCTTTGCATTTCTTAGTGGGAGGGGTTATCACTACTATGCACAGCTGAAGGGTAGGAAGGACTTGGAACTGCTATAGAAAACATTGAAATTTCAAATGTATAAAAGTCAATAAATTACAGTTATGGTTCTCAAAGGAGTGAACTATTGGTATATATTATATATGTTGGGTTTATATATTATCTGCAAAGCAATTGCTTGAATACATTATATGTCAAAGAGGTAAATTACAAGTTTATGTAAATAAACCATAACTTAAAAATTCTTCATATTGTCCATTTAAAATTTCAATTCTGAAATTCTGCTTAGAAGCTCAGAAATAACTGATGCAATGTTTTCTCTTATGTGTAGGTGTCTATGGTTATGTTGCCATGGTTAGTGGGTATTTAAAAATACCATAAGAGAAAGAAAATAATAACAAATGCTAACCTCCATCCTTTTCTCTGGATTCAGCAGGTACAAGGGCAGATACATTTTCCCTAGGTGCTGATTAGATGTGCACTGATCCAGCCATACTCCTTACAAGAATCTCTTCTTGCTACATACAGACATGTATACTTTTTCAACACCTAAGATGTGCAACTGAGCTTAACAGGGAAACCTGCAGTTTGGCAAAGCTAACTAACACAGACAAACAGACTCATTAACATAGTGCTTTAAGCTCAAATCACTATCCATTTTCATTTCATAAATTATTCAAGACCTTAGTGAAGCAGCCACAGGTAGTATATGCGACAAAATTATATTCTAAAGATGTGTTGAGCATAGATTCTCTTAAAGATCGATGGAGTGTCTGGGTAAGTCAGTAGTGTAGCAAATTTCAAAGAACTGGCCATCTCCTTGTTTCAATCCTGCTGTTCTCAGCAATTTCTTCCTTTTTAATAAGGGAGAATCAAAATGTTTACACTGCTTTCTGGCATGCTTCTTCAGCAACCTAAGCAAGGTATAAGGAGGTGGAAAAGCAATCATTTGTATAATATGATCATATATTGTTGGTGAAAACACATAAAACAGGTAATAAATCTCAAACTGAAAAATAAAACATTGTCCAAGCAGGTATCACTAATATGGCTGATTATTAAGATTAAATCCAAATAAATCAAGCATATAAATTACCAGGAAAGTCAATCTCTCTATCTAATTTAAATAATATTTGATCCTTCCAGTTAAAAAAATACCTGATTATTTAAGAAATAGTTAATTTTCAGCATATTGAATAAAATAGGTTTCTGGAGATATGGTCCTTCATTAATTAGAAACCTGGGCTGAAATCAAACATAAAAGCACAAGGGATTTATTTTATTTCTAAAATAAAAGTAACATGGGTTTTGAGCCAGCATAACCTGGCTTGTAATCAGTGCTGTGAAATCTTAGGAAATCACTTAACCTGAGCTATTTTTTACCCTCCTAAAATGAAGTTAATGGCACTTACCTTGGAGAACTGACAAATGTACAGGATATAGCTGACCCTTGATACATGATAATTATTATTATCATCATAGAAGGGAAATAGGAAAACATTGATTATTTATATATTTCCTATTCACAATGCTTTTTATTAATTATACATGCTTGTAATGATCATAAAATAATGTAATACCATGCAATCATTTTTTTCTGTGTTCTACTTAATATTTATAATAACATACAAAGTAATACTCATTATCCTCATTTTATAAATAAGGAAACTGAAGAACAGAGAGGTTATGTAATTTGCTCAAGGTCATACAGCAGAGTTGGGATTCAAACCCTGGCAATATGACTGCAGAGCTTACTATCTCATTAAAAGCCTGGAAATAATAGTAATGCAACATAACAGGCATTCCATCAATAAATACACAAGATGCTGCTACATTCTATGCTAGACACTATTATTCAAAACATCAAGCATCTGGACATTCAGGACACAGAACCTATAAACTTTAAAAAGCTTCCAATATGGCGACTAGAAGCAATTACACTACCTCAAAGTTATGACTCAAAACCTGTGCTATTTCTGTAGATAAAGGGAAAAAGGTCCCTTTCAAACTTCTGTTCTCCTTTTTATGTCCTCATAAAAATTTGGCCTTAACTATCATTTACTTATGGAACTAATAAAGCTTTCTACATCTTCTGAATACATGTGAATAAAATTGTCACTGTTCTTTGTTCACCTTTATGTTAAGATTTTTTTAAAGGATGGACATAAAAACTATTTTATATGATTGCTATAGTATATTTAATATTATTATCAAAATGGATCATAAAAAGAATACTTGGTCTTTAAGAATACTAAATGTCAGGTAAAAATGTGTATCAATGTTAAAAGTAACTCAAACAAAAAGCACAGAACAAACAACTCTGACCAGGTATACACAGATTTCTTGCCTCTTTTTGTTTTGTTTTCTTCCTCTTCCCTTTCCTATGGTATCAATCATTATTGCTCACTTTCTCAAAAGCACAAATAATAAAGTATGTAGGCTTCTGAAAATATTTTATAAGCTTAAAAATAAGGTTTACTCCTATTTATTCAAGAATAATTATGCATTATCAAATTGAAGCAACTGTGTATAATGTATAATTTATATATATAACAAAATGATTAGCTTTTACTTCAATTTTAACTATTTGTTTCAAAGAACTTTACTACAGCTTACTACTGAATAATTATGTAAGTTAAAATTGGACTGGTAATCTAACAACTTTAGATTTTGCTTTATATTTTTTTAAGGGGAAACAGGTTGTTCAAAAGCCAATTGGGTTGGTAAAAGTAATGGAATAATCTTCATTTCAGCTTGGGTGAAATTTATTCTGAAGAAAAATAATTTTCATCCTTTTTTGCAATAAACATTGGAAACCAAAGGGTAATTGGCAACATGGAAAAATGGGAAAGATGTAAATGAACTTTAAAGAAAGGCATCTGACATAAAATTAATATAAAACTATTGGCTTTGTAAGCATTATCAATCCAAATACGAATCTGGTGCCATGTACAAAAGGGGAGTGCTCTCAGTACACTACACAGAGCTCACCTGATTCTTTCTGTCTGCTGGCAACGCTTAGCATATGGCTGAAACTTGCAGGTGTTCCTTTTGAGATCTGGTTACTTTCGGATCTTCCTTTTCACTGATTGTAATTCCGTCAGTTAAAAATGAGTATTCTTTAAATATTTATTTTGCTTTTCAAGTGCTGTAATGGTGACAACCTTTTTGCAGGAGCTGGATTTTGTTTTCACAAGCAAGTCTGAAGGGCCCTTCTAGTAAGATTTCAGGTAGACTGAATTTCTAATTTGCTTATGTACAGGACACTTTTACGTTGGCTTTTGTTGACTTATCACTTCTTGGAGAAAGAAAACTGTAGAGAGCATCTTTTTAAATTATTGCCTAACAACTGGCATTTAATTTCTATCATGCCTTATCCTGGTTTACGTGTAACATTCCAAAGATGATATTTTCCTTGTCAATTCAGCCACTATGGGATAACATTAATGATGTTCATAGGAAAAAATGCATTTTGTGACTCCTTTCACCTCCTTAGATTCTCACACTTAACTTTATTTGTGCGGTTTATTCAAATAGCAGTTTTCCTTATGAAATCATGTAAGTAGGAACCATCTGGAAAGGTTACTGTGGAAACAGCAAGGGCTGGGGGTGGGGCTAGGGAGCAAGAGATGCCATGACAACCTTTTTCGGGTTTCCCAGGAAACATGGGTTGCTATGGGAACTGCATCAGTCAGGTCCGAATTAGTAACTTCCGCTGGAAGGGGTGTCTGCCACTTTAATCTTCTTGTGATACCGCAGAAGCTTATCTCTCAGATCCATTAGGAATTTTTTTGTTTCTCAGCAGCACTGAAAAACATCTGTTTCTAGACTGATGGATGTTAGCTGGGACATATGCACAGAACTTGTCTGGAATTTTTTAGTCTAATACTTGCAAAATGCTTAGCAAGTCCCAAAGAGTTAATCAGCCAGATCAGGATGTTTTGGGCATTTCCCTTTGTTCAGAGCTGTTGAGATCCTTAAGATTCCAGAAGGGGAGGATTGAAACAGAAACTCCAGTAAAAAAAACCAAATAAACTTAGGGTGGGTTTATGTCATTGTTCTACTTGACTTTTCATCCACATATCGAGAGTAGACAATTGAACTAAACACTCAAGAAATAATGTTACAGTGTCCACCAAACTGAAGAATCATTTCAGTATTCGCTGGCTTTACTTAGTAAAGAAGAACTACCTTTTAATTTTGAGGTTAAACAGTTACTCTGAAGTCTTAACTGTTCCTGTTTCATTTCCTCCCAGGATGTACTTTAAAACAAAAGGGCGTGTGCTAGAAATCAAGTTTAATGTAAGATTTTGTTCACAGAATTAAGACGAGGAGGGAAAAAAAAGGAAAGCTGAGAGAATGCAGCCCACTTGCAAAACAGGCACCTGTTTCAGTGTGAAGCACTAAGAAGAGGGAGAATGAAGTGTGCTTCTCACTTCTTCCTGTCCTTTCCTCGATGAATGGTCTGGAAATGTATAAAATAAGGGCATACACAGACCAAGGGGGCACGTTTCACACATATTGTGCACAGTATGTCATTCATATCATATATTAAACATCAGTGAATATTTTTTTGATGTTGACACAGGAGTTGGGATTATTGTTCGTGGTGCAGGCGGCAGTGGAGTTGCCCGTTTTGAAAGGGGTCTGGGGGAAAGCGCTGTGATTCATACCCCCCTCTTCGATCACCATATACTCCGACTTACTCAGAGTCGAGTTACTCCGTGCTTTTCGGAGCTCCTCCGCTGAGGAGGAGAGATGCTGGCAACTTCCCACGTGCATATACTGGGCTTGCTCTTCCCCTTCGGTCTCCCGGTGGTAGAAGTAATTGAAGTTGGAAACAATCACAGGAACTGGCAATGCAATGGTCAAGACACCCGCGATAGCACAAAGAGAGCCCACAATCTTGCCCCCAATGGTCACTGGGTGCATATCACCATAACCAACTGTTGTCATGGTTACCACTGCCCACCAAAAAGCATCCGGGATACTGCTAAAACCCGAACTGGGGTCGTCTGCCTCGGCAAAGTAGACTGCGCTGGAGAAAAGGATAACCCCAATAAAGAGGAAAAAGATGAGCAATCCCAACTCCCGCATGGAAGCCTTCAGCGTCTGCCCCAAGATCTGCAGCCCCTTGGAGTGACGGGAGAGCTTGAAGATGCGGAAAACCCTCACCAGGCGGATGACCCTCAGGATGGCCAGGGACATGGCCTGCTGTCCATTGCCCTGTCGCTCAGCCAGCTCGGTGCCCAGAGTGATAAAATACGGGATAATGGCCACGATGTCTATTAGGTTCATGATATTTCGCGAGAAGGTGGCTTTACTGGGGCAAGCAAAGAAACGCACCAGCAGCTCAAAAGAGAACCAGATGATGCACAGGGTCTCCACCACGAAGAAGGGATCCGAGAAGCTGGAGGCTTCCGCGGGGGCCCCCGACGTGCTGTTGCTGGGCGCCTTGAAGGCGTCCTGCGACGGCGAGGCGGGGTAGTCCTTCTCGTCGCGGAACTCGGGAAGAGTCTCCAGGCAGAAGATGACGATGGAGATGAGGATGACCAGTACGGACACGATGGCGATGCCCCGGGCAGGCCCGGAGCTCTCGGGGTACTCGAACAGCAGCCACACCTGGCGCTGGAAGTCACGGCGGGGCAGGGGCCGCTCTTCCTCCCGCAGGAAGCCCTCATCCTCGCGGAACTTCTCCATGGCTTCCTCGCCGAGCTGGTAGAAGCGGATCTCCTCCGAGAAGATGTCGATGGGCACGTTGACCGGCCGGCGGATGCGGCCCCCGGACTGGTAGTAGTAGAGGATGGCGTCGAAGCTGGGCCGGTTGCGGTCGAAGAAGTATTCGTTGCGGAGCGGGTCGAAGTACCTCATGCGCCGCTTGGGGTCGCCCAGCAACGTCTCGGGGAACTGGCAGAGGGTCTTGAGCTGCGTCTCGAAGCGCAGCCCCGAGATGTTGATGACCACGCGCTCCCCGCAGCAGTCCTGCTCGCCGGCGGCCGGGAGCGCGGGCGGCAGCGGCTCATAGCGGTCGCAGCCCCCGCCGCCTCCCCGAGGCGGGCCCCCGCCGCCGTCCGCCGCCTCCGGCTCCAGCAGGTGGTCCCCGGACACCACGGTCATGTCGGGCGGCGGCTCGGGGCCTGCGGCGGGCTCGGGGTAGCCCGGGTTCACCAAGGTTTGGGCGCCGCCGCCGCCGCCGCCGCCGCTCGCGGAGTTCTGGGGAGGGTGGGCGCGGTGGTAGGCGGAGGGCTGCGGCGGCGAGCGCAGGAGGCTGTGGTGCTCGTCCATGCGGCGGGGAGCGGGCGGCGGGGCCCAGTCGCTCCTCCTGGCGCTCCCGCCCCTTCGCCGCCTCCGCCCCCGAGCCTAGCCCGCCGCCTGTTGCAGCGGCCGCCGAAAGGCTCAGTCCTGGTCTGGCGCGGTGCGCGGGGCCGCGCGGCAGAGACTCCTCCTCGGCCTCCTCCGCCCCCGCCCTCCCGCGGGGCGCGCGCCCGCCCCTCCACGTCCCCCACGATTCCCGCCCACCGCGCGGGCGCGCGCCTGCTTCTTGGGGGAGCCGGGGGCCTGCCGCTCACGGCCGCCCTCCTGGCCGCCCCGTGTCACCGAAACACCCTCGTTCTGCACCTCTTGGCCCCCAGGACTCCTACCCGGCAGGCAGAGATGGCCCTCGGGGAATCTGACCCCGGGCCGGGCCCCTGGGTTTGACTCACTTCTGGTCAGCGCCAGCCTCCTCCCTCCCCCGGGCCAGCTGGGCACGTCTCAGTCACCTGTCGGCCTCCCAACTCCACCTGGGCTCGCTCGTGGGAGGCAGGTTCCCTGCAACCGAGGTAGCAGAAGGCAAAGAGAGAGAAGAGTAGGGAGGATCACGAGGTGCCCGAGCCTGGCCCGGAGCATCGTGGAGAGAGAGAGAGAATTCAGGCCAGGTGGACGACCTGGGTGCGAAGCTCCTGAGGTCACTTGAGGGGAGAAGTTCACCGACCCGGAGAGTGGGTGTTCTAAATAATTGTGCTTGGATGAGAAGCTGAACAGAGTAATGGGTGCTGATGGGGTTCCTTCCCTAGAGTCTGAAAGAACTGCATCGTTGGCACTCAGGCACCTTGCTTCTGTAGTGAATACATAGTTCAACCTTAGGCCGAATCAAGGAGCAAGTTTCTGGGAGGGCAGCCTGGTGTTTATCGTACTTTGAGATTTTCTGTTGGTGGAAAATGTGAGGAAAATGGGAAGAGGAATTCATGTTTAGTTTCTGGGATTAGAAAGCCCAATTGTATGACACATCTGTCTTGGGAAGGACAGAAGCAGTATCTATACCTAGACTTTACTAAGGTTGCTGCCATGGCCTTTGTGGCTGGGAATTTGCCGCATTCCAGTTGCTGAAGTGGGAGAACATTCTGGAACACGTGTCTCTGTAGCTTGGTTATTTACACTTATCTCCTTTGAACTTAGTTTCTCCAAATTTCTTTTTCCAGAAATTTTAGCAACCCCAGTGTAAGTCAGTCTTATGTTTACAAAATCTGTCCCTGATGGTATCATTCAAATCATTTACAAAAGGAAGTATTGTCCAGACAACTCCATCCAAAATGAGCTGACGATTCATTTGAAGTAAAAATGATTCATGATCATTGCTTCATTCCACCATTCCCAACCATGAGGCTTCCTAGGGTAGAAAATAGATCTTACCAATTTCTGCTCCTATCAACCATCAAAATTCCTTAGAAATAGTGCTAACTCAGTATATATTTGTTGGGTTGAATTCCCCAAGTGAGTCTTTGTATTTTTATCTGCTCTGGAGGGGCAACATTTCTTCTTTTTGAGAAGAACCCTAGAGGGGGTCTCATCCTGGGATGAGATGTGAAGGGAAATTGAGCTCACAGTATATTGTGGTTCATTATTCAGTTATTCTCCAACTGGCTTTTCTGGTCACCTATGTTCTTTACTATTTGTTTGTCTTCCTTCTCATATCCAGCTCAGTGCTGGGCACTGCAGGCAGTAACAGATGTTGGAGATGGTAAAACTGGACAACTGTGTGAAATGCTCTTTCTCACAAAACCCCAGAACAATGCAAAAATGCACTGTGTGGCAGTCACCTCATTACTTCATGGCTTGGCAATTAGGGTAGCAGCATAATCAATCATTAATATATTTAAATCCAAGAATTAGATAGATGCTTGCTCACAGAAAGACAAAGACCCTATTTTTAAAAACCAAATGTTTCATGTACCTCTATGTCTGACTTGGAAGGTGATTTATTCCTCCCTTTGCAGGAATTAGTACTGGAATTAATATTAATCAATGGCAAGGAAGACCAGAGCAGAGAATGGTTCTATGATGGATGGTCAGAAGCTTCTCCCTGCTGCGAAGTATCTTTCCTCCAGAAATGAATATTTCCATTCCTTTTATGCATTTGCCTTCTCTGGAAGACTTTGACTATAAGTGTCTTAGGACCGCCCTCACTTTATATTTGAGGCCCAGAGAAGTTTAGCAATTTGTTCAGTTTATATAGCCAGTTAGTAGCAGAGCTGGGCCTAAAATGTTGGACCATTTCCAAATCTAATGTTTGCTTTACTGTATCACACTGTGAAACTCTTATGTTGATCACCCTGAGTACTTAATAAATACTAGATTTCAAACAGCAGTCTATTTGCTTCTGATTGCTGACTAGTTTGCTTCAATTCATATTTATTTTAACAGAAAACCACTGCCTTCTGAAGGCTACCCTATTGTTTGTAATAAATGAGTTGGTGGGTATGTTCCAGCCCTGTTGGACAGCAGAACCCATCACAACAAATCAATGTCAAAAATGGCACTTCAGGAGGAACAAATACCCTTTATTTAGTGCCCCCAATGGAGTAGCTCAAAGTGATTTGAAAATGTCTCATTAATCCTCATGACATCCCTGTGGGATAATAATAATATTATTACAATGTTTAAGTACAGATTCGTGGCAAAGCAAACAGTGATGAGAAGAGCATGTGCAGGATTGCCTCATATTTTAATATTCAATATTAGAACCTAAGGAAAACCAATAAGTTTGAAAACAACAAGGGTAAATCTCCATGTTTGGACCACAAGAAAAATAGCACCCCAGTTGCTTGCCAGTTGGTGAGCAGCATCTGGATTAGCCCAGAAGTGTTTGAGAGTGCAACAAAGCAGGGCTAGAGATCCTAATCCACAATTATAGATAAATGAGTGGAGAAGAGCCCTTACTGTGTCCTAGGTACTGTGTCCCATGAGCTTTACACATAGGCCTTGCCCTCAACAGGCTTACACAGTTGAGAAGATAGGATATAAACCCATGAAAAATTTTACAGTGCTATTAGTTAACAATACAAGGCAACAGTATAGAACCATCATGAGACATCCTATTATTATGTCCATTCTAACCAAGCTGGTTGCCTTGTTTCTTAACTATGCCAATGTAGTTCCCATCCCTGGGTCATTGTAGTTGCTTTTCTTGCTGGCTGAAACATTCTTCTCTATCAGTTTAGGTCTCCATTCAAAATGTTACTTCATCAAAGATGTGCTCTGATCATAAATTTTTTGAGCTGGTGATTAGGGTAGTACTACCACCTGATTTCAGCTAGTACCCTCTCCTCCAGTCTCTTACCTGCTTTATTTTTCCTTATTGCATTTATGTACTTATGTACATTTTATATTTATTTGCTTCATTGCTTATTGACTGTCTTCCTAACGGCAGGTTTTGAGCTTTCATGTCTGTAGTACCTAAATCTTGAACAGAACCTGGCACATAGGGAATATACGTGGAGTAGAGGAAAGAAAATTCATGGGGCATGCTAGATACAGTAGGATCAGTTTTGCTGTATAGAGGAGTTATTTTGGAGAGATGTCTGACTGATTCTAGTTCTATGTCATAGAACCAGCTGGGCTGTGCAGATGTACAAGGATTGCTTTTTAAAACTCCACTTTCTTCTTTTTTTCTCTACCTTCCCTTTTCCTGTCATTCTGAATGGATCTATCTTGAATGCTGGAATTGTTCTTTAAATTCCCCACTTGATTTTCTTCCTGTAGAAACTTAAACTTAATATTTATAGAAACGAACTTATTATCTTTCTCCCCAAACTTGCTTATTTTCCTGTTTTTCTTATTTCAGCTATAATATGGAGTCAGCCCCATATCCTCCCTCCGCCTCTGTGTCCAGTTGATTACTAAGCGCTTTCTATTCCCCCTCCCAGTCTCTATTAACTCTGTCTTCATCTGTCTATTCTCACTGCCACTGCCCCAGTTCAGGCTGCCATAATAGTTTCATAACAGACTCCCTGCTTCCAGTATCTCTTTTATGTATTTTATCCTCCAGCATGTAGCTGAGTTATTTCTGTAAACCATAGATTCGATCATGTTTTTTGTCACTGCCTGCCATGGTGTTCACACTTAGTCCTGACCTATCATTCTGGCAGCATCTCCATACCACTTGCTGGTCTGGACAAGTCATCCACTTCTGTACTGCGAGGCTTTCACTCATGCTAGCTGCTCATGCTCATTAGAATTATTACTGGATACTCCTAAATAGGTTTGTCCCATTGGTGAAGTCAGTCTTTTAATCCCAGCTCAGAGGTCATTTCAGACTTCCACCTTTCTTGTCAGCCATGATTACCACTGCGGAGAAAACTGATTGGACATGAATTCACTGATACTCCTTCTCATCAGAGCTCCTATCATATTTTGCTCATAGCTCCATTAAAGGCCTTTGCTGTACTATATTTAGGTTGTATGGTATGATCTGTCTTCCTATGAGAATGTGAACTTCATTATGCTGATAGCTAGCATATTGAGCAGTGAATTTGCTGTGTTAAGCCAGACACTGTGCTGAGCATTTTACATGCAGTATCTTCCAACTTCCTTATAGGACAGGTCATATTACTACCATGCCATTTTACAGGTGGAGAAACTTGGGGCAGGGTGATAAAATCACTTCTGTATGATTACACAGCTAGGAAATGGTAGAACCAGGATTTATGTTGAGAAGTTCACATCTTCCACCCCTGCCTTAGGCAGTCTCTGTGAGGATTAGATGCCTTGTCTTGTTTATCTTTGTATTTCCAGTCTCTGAAATTGTGTTGCTATAGAAGAAATGCATTTCAAATAGCATCATAGAAGAAGAATGACTAGGAAGCATTACTAGTTATTCACTAAAAAACTGATAGATGGGGCCAGGGATTTAGTGTAGTGGCACCTTGCCTGCCTCGCAAGTGCAAGGTCCTGAGTTTGATCCCCGGTACCAAAAAACCCCCCCAAAACAAAAAACAAAAAACCCAAGAAAACAAAACAAAACAAAAAAAACCCCGATAGATAAACCACAATGAAGAAGTTAGTCCTTGTCCTCAGCACAAAGGTTATAAATAGTCCCTC